CACTGGGACAGACTACCCGATACCCACAACTTAGAGGAGGAAAGGTTTAATTTAGCTCATGGTTTGGGGGTTTCAGTCCATGGTCAGCTGGCTCCAAGGCAGAAATAGCCTAGCAGAAGGGTACAGTAGAGGAGAGCTGCTCAATTCATGGCAGCCAAGAAGCAGAAAGCAAAGAAGGGAGCCAGGACAAGAATACCCTCTTCTAGGTCACATCCCCAGTTACTTACCTTCAACCAGACCCTACCTCCTAAGGGCACGTTCAGCCATAAACTTAGCAATGGATAAATCCACTGGTGAGTATAGAGGCCCCATGATCCAATCACCTTCCAAACACTTTGGGGAGACATTTTGGATTAAAACATAACAAGTGCTAAGAAGGAAGATTCAGCTATCGAACCTTTCAGTAAAAAGGAAGAGCTCAAACCAATAATCTAACTTCATTCTTTAAGGAACTTAAGGAAGAAAAACAAATTAAGCCCAAACCCAGTAGAAGGAAAGAAATAAAGATTACAGCAAAGATAAATGAAATAGCAGGAAAAACCCCAGTAGAAATAAATCAAACTGAGTTAGTTTATTATAAAAGAGCAACAAAACTGACAAACCTTTAGCTAGATTAACTAAGAAAAATATTCAAATAACTAAAATTAGAAATAAAAAGAGGAGAGGTGCTAAGCATGGTGGTACACACCTGTAGTCCCAGCACTTGGGAGGCTGAGATAGGAGGACTGATGTTCAAGGTTGGTCTATGCCAGTGGTGATGAACCTATGGCACACATGCCACAGTGGGCGCACAGAGCCCTCCCTCTCTGTCAGCATGAGAATCAATAACCCCCAGCCAAGGTTTGATAGATTATCAGCATACATACAACAGCAAAGATCATATTAATTGTGCAAAAAGCACACTAAATGTAAACTTTTACCTTTCATTAAAAAGCTATTTGTATCACTGAAAGCTCTGTTATTGTTTTTCCTTTAAGACAAAAGATGTTAATGTAGAGTTTTTCTAAACTAAAACTCAGGTGTTCAGGTTTAATTGCAATGTTGGCACTTTGTGATAAATAAGTGGGTTTTAGGTTGCAGTTTGGGGATTCAGTCTCGAAAAGGTTTGCCATCACTGGCCTAGGCTATATAACGAGTTCAAAACCAGCCCGGACTGCATAGTGAAACCCTATCTTAAAAAAATCTAAAAATTAAAAAATAAAAAAGGAGAGATATTACAACTGATATCATAGAAATATAAATCATAGGAGAATTGTGAACGATTGTATATCAGCAAATTGGATAACCTAAAAACATAGAACCTACTAAAATCAAATCATGAATAGAAAATCTGAACATCTGTAACTAACATGGAGACTGAATCAGTAATTAAAAAGTTGCCAACAAAGAAAAACCCAGGCCAAATTGCTTCACTGGAGAATTCTACCAAGAAAAAAAATTTATTTTTTTCTGGCTTTTTGAGATAGTGTCTCACTATGTAGTTTAGGTTGGCCTTGAACTCACTATACAGATCAGGCCTTGAAGTAATCCTCTTCCTGCCTCAGCCGCCTGAGTGCTGGGATTATAGACATGTGCAATCATATCTGGCATTACCAAATATTTAAAGAATTAAACATCAATCCTCCTCAACCTTCCAAAAAAAATGAAGGGAACACTTCCAAATTTATTCTATGAGGAGAGGAATACCTTGATCCCAAATCCAGACAGACACCACAAGATCAGTATCACTGATGAATATTTATGTGAAAGTCCTCAACCAAATACTAGCAAATAGAACTCAAAAGCACATTAAAAGGATGAAACAGGGACGGGGATTTAGCTCAGGGGTTCTGCCACCTGTCTCATAAGCACAAGGTCCTGAGTTCGATCCCCAGTACCAAAAAAAAGGATGATACACCATGACTACATAGAATTTATTTCTGGAATACAAAGATGGTACAGCATACACTCAATATACCATGTGAACAAACTTAAGGGGCAAAAAAATCACACAATCATTTCAACTGATGAGGCAAAGTGTTTGACAAAATTCAACACTCTTTCATGATAAAAACAATAAGCTGGGAGAAAGAAACTCAACAAAATAAAGGCCATATATAAAAGCCCACAACTAACCTCAAATTCAGTGATAAGAATGAAGAAAGCTTTTCTCCAAAAATCAGAACCAAGACAAAGATGTCTTCTCTCATCACTTTTATTAATGAGTTCTGCAAGTCCTGGCCAGAAAAATTAGCCCAGAAATAAATAGCACCATTGAAACAGAAGAAGTAAACTTATCTTGCAGATAACATGTTCTTATGAGGAGAAAATCCTAAAGATTCCATTAAATAATTATTAGAGCTAATTTTTAAAATTCAGCAAAATTACAAAATACAAAAATCAGTTGCATCTCTATACATTAACAATAAAGACCACAAAAATGAAATTAAGTGGCTGGGAATTTAGCTCAGTGATGCTGCTGCCTGCCTCACAAGTGCAAGGTCCCAAGTTCAATCCCTGGTACCAATAAAAAAAGAAAGAAATTAAGCAAACAATTCCACTTAAATAGCATCAAAAAGAATAAAATACTTAAGCATAAACCTAACCAAGGAGATGTGCTAGGGTCTGAATATTTGTGCCCCACCCTCATTCATAGGTTGAAACTAACCCTCAGTGTGGTAGTATTAACAGGGAGGGCCTTTCTGAGATCAGCAGGCCAAGAGGGCTCCAACTTCCTGAATGGCACTGGTGTGCTTATAAAAGGGGTCTGAGGGAGCTTGTTCTTCACTTCCACCATGTGAGGACACAGCTAGAAGGCACCGTGTAGTAATAAGACAATCTTCATAATATACTATACCCTTTGTTTTAGACTTCACAGCATCTATAACTGTGACCAATAAGTTTCTGTTATATATAAATTACTTAATACAAGGTTTTTTATTACAGTGGAATGATGGAGACAAGGTGAAAAAGTTGTATGCTGAAAATTATAAAACACTGCTATCAGAAATTAAAAACACAAATAAGTGGAAAGATCCGTTCCTGGATTGGAAGACATACTATTGATAAGATGTTAGCATTACTCAAAGCAATCAATAGATTCAATGCAATCTCTGGGAAAATCTCGATAGCACAACCACATGCAAAAATGAAGTTGGACCACACACAAAAATTCACTAAAAGCTGGAGTGTAGCTCAGTTGTACTGAACTTGCCTACCTTGTGTGATGCCCTAGGTCAGAACCCTAGCAACACACACACACACACACACTCTCTCTCTCTCTCTCTCTCTCTCTCTTTCCCTCAAAGACTTAAAGACCTAAATGTAAAACTTAGACTGTAAAACACCTAGAAGAAAATGGGGAAATTTTCATGATGCTAAATTTGACAATGATTTTCTTAGATGTGATACCAAAAGTACAGATAACAAAAGAAAGAACTGGAATTAAATAAATCAGGCATAGTGGTACATGCCTGTAATCTCAGCATTGTGAAAGGCTAGGGCAGGAAGATCACAAGTTTGAGCGCAGCCTTCGCAAGACTCTGTCTCAAAATTTAAAAAGGCATAAAAACAACAACAACAAAACAGGCTAACTTCTGTGCAGGGTATGGGTTATAACTCATTTTAGAGCACTTGCCGAGCTTGCTCTGGGTTTGATTCCAAGTGCTGTGAAACAAAACAAAATAACCCAAAAAAACCCTGTATGTTATGGCTTACATCTAGATCTCCCCCTAAAGCCTAATGCACTCATAGGTGGGGCTTTGGGGAGTGACTGGATCGGGGTGTGTGATTCTGGATTAGTCTGCTAACTAGGCTTTAGTATAGTTTTGGCTGTGGGTAATGGACTTACTAAACAGGGAAAACCCACCATGGCTGTGGGTGGCACCAACCAATAAGCTTGTACCTGGATGGAATAAAAACAGAAGGAAAGCTCACTTGCTCTTTCCTGCCTGCCTTGCCAAGAACTGTCTCTCCTCTGCCGTGCTGACTTGCCTTGGACCCAGCCAACTATTGATTGAAACCTCTACAAACTATGAGCTAAAATAAACCTTCCTCCTTCAACCAGTAGGTGTTGGGTATTTTTTCCCAGCAACAAAAAGTAAGACACTTAAAATGACACAATTAACAGACTGAAAAGGCAACCTAAGGAATTGGAGAGAATATTTGCAAATCATAAAGTTAATAACAACAAAACTTCAACTTAATAACAACAAAAACAAATAACCCAATTGAAAAATTGGCCAAGGATTTGAAGACATTTCTCCAAAGATGATAGGAAGATGACCAGCAAACAAATATAAAACAACAAAATATGAAAGAAAAGATGCTGAATGTGACTAATTATGAGAGAAATGCAAATCAGTCCAAGGAAGTATCATTTCATACCCATCAGGATGACCACTAATAACAAAAAGAAGAAAAGTGTTGAGGACATGGAGAAAGTGGATCCTCTGTGCTCTCTTAGTGGGAGTGTAAAATGGTCTTGCCACAGTGGAAAAGAATATAGGAGTCCTTCAAATAATTAAAAACACAATTACCATATGAGACAGCAAATTGATTTATGAACTAAATGTGTTCCCTGAAAATTCACATGTTGAAGGGTCTTTGGGAGATAATTAGGTCACCAAGGCAGAGTCCTTCTGAATAGGACTAATGGAGAGGAGAGGTGAAATTTTCCATCTCATGTGAGGATTTAGCAAGAAAACATCCCTCTGCAAGTCAGGAACTAAACTGACCATCACCTTGACCTTGGAATGTTAAGAAATAAAATTCTGTTCTTAACCCAGCTCAACATTATAGTATTTGTTATTGAAGCCTGACTAAGACACCACTTCTGGATATATATATCATATACATATATATAGTATATCTATCTATCTATCTATATATATCCTATATATATAGGATATATATATATATAGGATATATATTCTGGATATATATAGGATATATAGAGGATATATATATTCTGGATATATATATATTCTGGGTATATATATATATATATATTTATGAATTGAAAACAAGATATTAAAGAAATGTTTGCATACCCATGCTTACAGCAGCATTCACAATAGCCATTTGGAAGTAACCCAAAAATTCACTAAGATAAATAAACAAAATGGAATACACACAATAAAATATTATTCATCCATAAAAAGGAAGGAGTACTTGTCATGCTATAACACAGATGAGCCTGAGGACATTATGGTAAGTGATATAAGCCAACCACAAAAGGAAGTATACTGTATGAGTCCGCTTATTTAAGAGATTTTTAAGTGGTCAAATTCAAACAACCAGAAAGTAAAATGGTGGTTTCCAGGAGAGGAAGAAGTGTAGGGAGTTGTTTAATATGTATAGAGTTTCAGTTTTTTGGTTTTTTTTTTTTTTGGTACCAGGGATCGAACTCGGGACCTTGCACTTGCAAGGCAGGTGACAGAACCACTGAGCTAAATCCTCAGCCCTAGTTTAAGTTTTGAAAGATGAAAACATTCTAGAGTAAGGTTGCAGAACAATGTGAATTTATTTAACACTACTGAATTGTACAATTAAAAGTACTGTTGTACCATATGAGTACTTAAGATAGTAGATTTTATATATGTATTATGTTTTTTAGCACAAACAATTTTTAAAGGAAGTGAGTTATTGCAAATGGTCCAGTTTGTACGAGTCTGAAGGGGAGCTTTCTGACAAGGAGAATAGGTCTAATGGCATCCTACCATAAATTACTATAAATTCTGAGGGGAAGCAGGTTTTAGGTGAGGAAAGGTTTGATCTTTTTGTTGAAAGTAGGATATATAGCTTGCTATAAGATTTTTATCCTTAAATGTTTTGGAGATTAGCCCTTCAGGCTTAAACTGATTTCACCTGCCAGACTGGATTTATCAGCACCCACATATGGATTATGGACTACAATGAAGTAAATGTGCCTTTGGGATTTTGCTGAGCGCTAACTATGGATGAGTCTCAGATGACTGAAATGTAGCTTATTCTAAGGGGCCTCAACAGCCCATCCTGTCTGGGATGGCTGCCTTCCCCCCATGCTGATTGTTAGGGTAACAGATGAGCTGTTAACAGCTTTTCTCCAAGCAGAGTTGTAAATTTACTAAATCTTCATTTGGCCAGTATAGATAACAACAGTAATCTCAATTTGTTTGTCTTTTTAAATCATGTTTTCAAAGACCAAACCTATCCCACAAAAAAATGGCAAATTAATTGCCACCACAATGTTGTAATTTAGGAAGCCCTTCTACAAATCCTGCACTGGACTGGGCAACTTGCCCATCTAAACTACTTTATAATAAAACAGATATTGTTCTCATTTTACAATTTAAACTGAAGAAATTAACTTTGCTCAAGGCCAACCCAAGTAGCACAGGAGAGAGTTAGGGTTCAAACGAGTCTGTCATACATTGAGCCTGCACTCTTTCTAACCCATTATATTAACTCTCTAGACACACAGAGCTATGACTACAAGCATTGCTAGTCCACTCGCTTTATTTTAAATGAAGAGAAAGGTAAAATCCTCTTTTTCATCTACTTATTCAATAAAGAGCAAATGGCCCAGAGCATTATTCTGTTTTTCTGCTAATTCTTTATGAGCACCAGAAAAATGTTGGTATCTAATCAGAAAAATCTATTTTTTAGATATAGTAAGGATTAATAGATGCTATGTAGTAATGTGTCCCATTCATGTTCACCATCATTCTTTCCACAGTCAAAAATCTATTAGTCATAGCTCAGTGGTTCCGGTGCCAGCCTCGCAAGCACACGGTCCCAAGTTCAATCCCCGGTACAAAAAAAAAAAAAAAAAAACTATTAGTCTTCACTGCACAGTTCATTTAACTAATAAACTGACAAGCACTTGAATTCCCAAATTGTTAAATTGGAATTTCAAAATTAATAGTAAATTATTAGAGATTAGGAGAAAAAGTCATTTATTTTTTAAAATGCACATATTTTCACCTTATATTTCTCACATCAGAATATATACATGTTCTGAACATGTACATTAATTTTTCTTTTCTTTTCTTTCTTTTTTTTTTTGGTATGGGGGATTGAACTTGGGACCTTGTGCTTTCGAGGCAGGCAGCAGAACCGCTGAGCTAAATCCCCGGCCCATATATTCATTTTTCTATATCACCTAAGAAGTGCTTATTTATTTTAAAATACTTAGATTATTCACTACAATCTGTACTTTTAAAACTTTCAATATTTCTTTAATACTAAAAAAAGTTCACATCTGTTATCACTCCTTAAGAATGAGAGAGACTGGACTTCCTGTGTCTGTTGTTAGAAAGAAGAAATAGCCAGCGGTTCCAGGAAGGTGTGGTGACTCTGGATTCGGTTTAGAAGTTGCTGTGCCACAGGTTTGAATTCTCTTTCCCAGTGAAGTTTGTGATAGTTTTTTAGATCTTGATCAAAACTGCTATCCAGTGCTAGTTCTTCATCTGTATCAGAAAAATTAAAATTGGAGTGATTATTTGGAAATGTAATCCTATCAAATAGTTTAATTTTTGATGAGTAAAACTCATCCTGGGTCATCTTTAATACCAACATGACACAAGGTAGGCTTTGGGGATTACAAGGCTTTTAGTTTGTTTTTTAGAGAGGGGCTCCTTATACTGCCCAGGCTGGTCTTAAACTCCTCCTGCCTCCGTTTCCTAAGTAGCTGGGACTGTAGGTACAAGCTACTGCACCCAGTGAAAAAGGTTTTTTTTAAAATAGGAGTTCTTTACTCTCTTTATTCTCTGCAAATATTTAAAACAAATATATTTTAGTCTCTTAATTGAGCAATTATTTTTTAAATCCTAAATTGAATTGAACTCTTCTTTTAGTCTGTTTTTACATATAAATTTGCAACTAAAATGAGATTACAATTTCTCAGAATAAACAAAGTATTAATAGGTTACTTCCTTACATATGCATTAGAAAAGTTATTTACTTAAATGATTGACAGATATAAAAGGAGTCAGGAAATCCTTTGGGAAAGTTGACCAGTTGAATTTGATACTTTACTAAAGGGCTAGGGATGTGGCCCAGTAGTAAAGTGATAGCGTAGCAAGAGCAAGGGCCTGAGTTTAAGCCCCAGCACTACAAAAATAAATGAATAAACTTAACTGAAAATTAGAACTCTGCTGGCTTCAAAGCAGCAGGGATTTACTTCTTTGAAAGGACAACCCACACCCTCACCCCACACTCTCCAATTACTGATAACTGGGGAACTTTGAGAATTCCAAGGAGTGTTAAAGTCCCAAGCAAGTCTATAGATAATGCAAAAAAAAAAAAAAAAAATCACTTGTTAAAAAATGAAAAAAAATGCAAAATTGCAACTTTAATGTCATTCTTGATGAAAAGACATCCTAAATTCCATGAACACGACAGAGTATATTCAATCCAAGTAGGAAGATAAATGACCTCTAAAGTTTCTGTACCAATTAGCCATGTTTTCACTTGTTTATATTAGGCCTCACCTCACACTCCATGTGACAGACTTCAGGAAAGTGCACTGGCTTGCCAGTCAGAATATTGGCCCTACCACTTCCTAGGTCTGTGGCCTGAGGCTGACTTCTTAAATGGCAACCACTAAGTCCCAAAATGACCACAAATGTTGCTACTTACATAATTTGCGAACATATTTTTCATTACTCTGTTTACATTAGATTTTATACAGAGTGTTTGTGTATGCTCCATGTGTACTTTGGCACTATAGATATTACTGTCACCCAGCATAAGATAAGGGAATGTCCAATCCCAGTGTGTACCTCCCCCTCTCCCTCCCAACCAAGTTGTCAGCTATGCAACTCTGAGATAAGTTCCAGGCAGACAAAAACACTTCAGCAAGGCCCTCCATGGAGACCCTGAAAGCAAACTGAGCTCTCCCTGCCCACAAGATAACCAGGGCCTTGAGGGAGAATGCAGTGTTCCTGGAGTCTTCAAAGCCCTTCCTATTTGGCTACTTCTAGACTGATAGATTCTGAGTGACTTCAGATTTCTAGATCATCTTCCTGTTCACTCCTTTCTAGATCTGCTGAGTTCTAAACTTTGCTTAAGAAAGGAATCCTTTTGTTTTATGCCCTTCTTTCCCAAGCTGCTTAAGGCTGAGTAGTGTGGCCCTGAACAGACCCCTCCTCTGCCCAGGGCTTTGGTTGGATTTGATGATTTTTGCAAACTCTCCAATGGTTTTCTTTCCCCTCCTCACTTCCTGACTCCCTCTCATATACTGAGTTTGTTACTCTTCTTAAATTTCAGCCTACCGGTATTTAGAAATTAATCTATATTCAGATCATATTAATTCTAAATTGGTTTAAACAAGATACAAAAGTAGCCAAACAGCTACACAGAAGAAAAACCCAGCAGTCTGAAGTTTTAGGGTAAACATAGCAGACACTCAAAGTTACATTATACTGGGTATTAAAGTTTTGAACTTGTACTTCAAAAGGTAGTAGAGGACCAGGGATTTAACTCAGTGGTTCCACTGCCTGCCTCCCAAGTGCAAGGACCCAGGTTCGATCCCCAGTACCACAAAAAAAAGAAGAAGAAAGTAGTAGAGACTGACTTAATGAAAATTTATATATGTGATTTCAGACTTACTGTGACCCATAGTAAGAAATGCATTAAACATTATGATTCTGTATACATTACTTAAATAGTTATGTATAAATAATAAATGTTTCACAATAAAATTACTAGATGTAATACATTCTGATATTTTCTTTCTTTGCTACTTTTTTGGTCAGTATTGGGGATTGAACCTAGGGCCTTTACACTGAGCTACATCCCCAGACCTCATTTTAAAATTCTGAGATAGGTCTTGCCAAGTTGCCAAGTTGCCAAGTTGCCCAGCCTGGGCTTGCTGGGATTATAGCCATAAACCACCACACTTGACGAATTATTTCATTTTTTAAAAAGATGTGGGAGCCAGTGTGGTAGTGCACTTAGGAGGCTGGGGCAGGAGGATCGCCATGAGTTCAAGGCCAGCCGCCTGAACCACTCAGTGAGACCCTGTCTCAAAAAACCAAAAGACATTGGTTACAACCAACTAAACTGATTTCATGACTCACAGTGTAAAAAGGATTGATTTAGACAAGCGATCTTTCTTAAGCTTTCTTGGTACATCGCATACTTTCAAATACTAAAATTTGAGAGCCAAGTGAGGTAGCACACACCCATAATCCCAGCACCCAGTAAACTGAGACAGCAGAAGAGTCCCTGTGAGTCAGAGGCAGCCTGGCCTGCATAGTGAGTTTAAGGCCAGCCTGGACTACATAGCCAGATGCTGTCTCAAAAAAACAAAACAAACAGAAAAACAAACAAAAAAACAAATACAAAATTTGAAATAAATGTATTAGAAAGTATTAAAAGACTCGAAACAATAAATGCACCAGTGATGATTATAACACAATCATCATTCCAGTTCAAGTGTACTACAGCACCAGGGCACCAGTTTCTGACTTGTGCTCCAGTACCAGGCAGCTGTTGGAGGGATGCATCACTGCCTTGATGTTTCTCTCCTGAGCCAGAGTCCTCATCTGTTCCGGAAGCACCTGAGAGCTCCCTGGCAGAGGCCTGACGATGTGATCCTCAACTGGAACACTCGGCCCCATTTACACTCATCACAAAACCTGAGGGCCAGGTTCCATACCATACGGCGAGCACACAATAACCTAGTGTTCTTCACAATTGGGACAATCAACTGCGCACATCGCCCGCTTCCTGAGGGGCTCAGGGTGACTAGAGTGTCAGGTGCTACTACTTAGAACTTCCAGCTAAACACATCAATCAAGAGTTTATAAGAAGCAACTGCAGTACACCAGAAAGTTTTAGCCTCTTTCCAGAAAGACTCCACCATGTTAAGGATCATTAGTTTCTCCCTTTTTCTTTCCTAGTCACCATGCAAGAAAAAGTTAGGGAACTTTTATTACTATATCAATTGCCTTGCCATTATTTCTAAAAACAGCCCTCAGTTCTTCAACGTGGGCCTTTGTGATTTAATACCTCATCCTGTTTTCAAAATAAGCTTAGTTTTTTGTTTTGTTTTGTTTTGTTCTGTTCTTTAAGCTATCTTTGTAAAATAATTGAAATTCAAGTACACCATTATCCACGTGCCATCTCACTCGTGACAGGCCAGCTGTCCAGACACAACCATAGCCCTGTCAGAAGTAAGGGTCAAGTGCCCAAACCACTGAGAAAAAGACAAGAGTAGTGTAGACCTCAGAGCCTACAAGGTCCAGTCCTCATACTTCTTCATCATGTGAGAAAGCATCATACTTTGGACTGGGACTTGGCTCCCTGATCAAACTCTGTTTATTTTTGTTATCTATGCCACAGGTTCCTTCCATGGGGTGGGGTGGAGTCGGGGTCTACTATGTAATAGAACAGCAGAAAAACACAGGCTAGATGTTTATTTTCAGATGAAAAGTCCTGGATTTGATAAAGTATGTCCTTAGGCAAGTCATCTAACCCTTCCTGACTAACTTTCCTTGTCTGTCACTTAGCTACTGACCCCAGAAACTTTTTGTGAAGACAGAATGAACATGTTTTTTAAAGTATAAAACACTATCAGGGGCTAAGGGTATAACTCAGTGATAGAACACTTGCCTAGCATGCACAAGACCCTAGGTTCAATCTCCAGCACCACACAACACACACGCACAATCCCCAAAACGAAGGTATATAGCACTATTAAAACACTACTGTTAGCCAATCTACAAGCATTTATCAAGTATACCTGCTTTGTATGAGGCAATATTTTTTCCCTAAAGTAGCTGAGTTGGAAAGGGAAAGATAAAATTTATAAAACATTAATACAGGAGAAATCACACAAATCGTGATTATATAATTGCTATACAACAAGTAAAGGTTTTCTTATGACTATGAGCTTCAGAAGCTATAAAAAAGGGCCTGCTGGGTCAGCAGCACTTGCACAGCATATAGGGCAGAGGGCATGTGCAAAGGCCAGAGGCTGGAGAAGCCCAACATTGGGAACAGAATGATAGCAACAGACTGACTACAATGAAATGCCTCCCATGTATGCTGGCCCCTTCTCTGAAGCTAGCCGGGTCCATGCTGGACCTTACGCAGCATGGCCCCACTATCCTGGTTATTTATGGCCAACTGCCCCAGACTTAGGTAAGAAAGGAAGGCACAGGTAGCTTGTCTGTCACGGAGGCAGCTGTTGTCACCTACACACAAAAGCCTTAGGCACAGGAAAGTGACTCACTGAGCCAATCACAATTTCCTCCTCCAAGGGAGACACAAAAAAGTGTGCCAGCAACAAAGGAGACACAGGGACACACACTGAGTGCATCACGTGCAAGCTTTGAGGTAGTGGAAGCCATGACCAAGCAGGAGCCTAGAGGAAGCAAGGGGAGAAAAGTGAGAACTTTCTCCTCCACAGCAGAGCGGAAGCAGAGCTGGGTCTCCAGCACACTGGAGCCCAAGGTGTGGGGGGGCTCATGATGCCATGATGCCTGCTGCTGAGGGTCCCTGGGACTCTAGCTCCTGAGTGCCTCTCCCGGAGCCCTTGGGCAGTGTCTTACTTCCTGGGTTCTGCCCTGTGCATCCTCCCCTAAATTCCTTCATTAAGCAGATCCGAGGCTCTCAATCCTCACTGCACATCGCACTCAACTGAGGAAGTTTTTATTTTATTTATTTATTTATTTATTTGTTTATTTATTTATTTATTTTTTGGGTACCCGGGATCGAACTCGGGTCCTTACACTTGTGCAGCAGGTGGCAAAACCACTGAGCTAAATCCCCAGCCCATCTGGGGAAGTTTTTAAAACACAGATTATCAGTCTCCCCCCAGAGCTCCTGAATCAGAATTCCTAAGGATGGGCCAGGATGCGTGTTCTCTTTAATTCCATAGCTGACTTCAATGCCCTGCCCACATTGAGAATTTAAGGCACTAGGGAGGTAGCTCAGTGGTACAGTGCTTGCTTAGCATGCAAGAGGCCTTGGGTTCTATCCCGAGCACCAAATAAAAATAAAAATAAAATAAAATAGAATTTGGAGAACTGAGTTAGGCAGTCTGAGCATGGCCTTCAGCTTCCTACAACAAGCTTCCTGAGAAAGCCTTTGGCAGATTGTAAACCTCAATCAATCATTTTTTTCTTATCCTGTATTTTAAACACACACACACACAATTATATTTACCTGGAAAAAAGCAAATTTCACAACAGCCTAGTACACCTGATTCTTTCAAATAGCTTCCGAGTCCCAGTTCCTGTGCAGTAACATACTGTTACAACACTTAGTGTACAAGCACTTCAGCCATCTTTCAAGGACTTGCTACGTCTCAGGGTGAACATTAGGCTCTCTGTACATATATGTTCACTTATCAGCCTAACAGCTCTTCAGGGTAGATATTAACTATCCCTGCCTTAGAGATGATAAAATATAAATTCCAGGCAGGTTAAGCCTAAAGTTTAAAAATTTGCAGGAGGGCCGGGGATTTAGCTCAGTGGTTCCACAAACTGCTTTGCAAGCGTAAGGTCCTGAGTTTGATCCCCGGTACCAAAAAACAACTTGCAAGAGATAAAGCAAGGACCTAAACTTGGAACTATCTTGCCTATAGACCCTTTTAAAGATGGAAAGATGGGCTGTCAGAGATTCCTTTGTCCAAATTATACCACCAAGTGGAGGAAGGAGGATTTGAATCCATGGCTTCGGAGTCACACTCTTTCCCCAGAGCCTCGCCAATCGGTGGCTAGGCAATGATGGGGACGCCTCCTCCATTTAGGAAAAAGCATTACTGAAAACACTCAACTTGGGTACTGACCCAAATCATTGTTTTTAGAGACAATCCAGGATGAAAAAAAAATTATCCTCAAAACAGAAAAAAAATAACATAAGAAATTATCCTCTTTAGTCTGTACAACTTCAGTTTCTACCTTTTAAGAATATAGGCTTCACTGTGATTCAAATGGTCTCTCAGACCCTTTCCCATATAACATAGCTGCTAACTAAAATGTAGAGATCCATTTAAAAGCATGACTTAAAGCAAAGCAGCTTTTAGCCATATTTTCTCAGTTCTAACAGTGTCAAAATACTTTTAAACAACAGAGTTATGTGGAATTTGTGGTTATGCAGCCTACAGAGAAGAGAAAAAAAAAGTCATAAAGAATCACGACTGTATTGAAGCAGTTAAAAGTTCCATCCCTACTGTAGGTAACGTTCAGCTTCCAAGTTATAATAATCTTTAACATCTCTCATTGCTTATAGAAAAACAGCTACCCTAACACACATCAATACTTACACATGTCACAAAAAACCATTTTTCTTATCTTGCATTGATGAAACTCAGATTCACTTACCCAAAAATGATGACAGGAGGACTAAGAGTGTGTTGGTGTCTTCATCTCCAAAACACGCTGAAGCACTTGTGGTATTTTCACTAAAATTCCATAAAGTTTTGCAAACCAAGCAGGCCAGCTGCCAATCAGTAGGACCAAAATCTCTTAAGCAATCCACTAACCTAAGTTTATAAAAGTCAAATTGAGAAGTCAGAGTCTGCCTTTAACTTTTGAATGTTTAGTATGATGATTATCCTGTGATATTTAATGTGTCTTATACAATTCAATGATCATTAAAATAATTTAGTATCTATAAATTTAAATGATTGCAATATAGCAATAATTCACTTGTGAATGATTTTAAGCATCTAGTGGAACCTAGATTCCTTCTTTAGCCCCAGCCTGGGGCTTTCAAATGTTGAAATACCTCTGTTCCCAAGAAAGGATGGGAAAGCCAGCCTAAGAGCCTAGGAAGCTGTGTCCCCTGAATCCCGAGACAGGACTCCATGCTTAGACACTTACTTTTTCTTTTATTTATTTATTTTTTGGTACCAGGGATCAAACTCGGGACCTTGAACTTGCGAGGCAGGCAATGGAACCACTGAGCTAAATCCCTGGCCCCAACACTTACTTTTTAATGCCACCTCCCTCCTTTAGGACAACTCGCTTGTGCTTATCCACAGTGAGATTTAGGAGAACACCACAAGCAGAAAAGCAAAGGTCCTGGTGCTTAGTGTCCAGCAGTGCAATCATAAAGTTGTGTACTAGGAGGGCAGAGAACAAATGCAGATCAGTGAAAGCTTCAGGCTCACAGCTGTATCTTGTTTTACAAATGGCACAGCGGAAATGGGAAGGAGTGGCTTACAATACCCGAAGCTTGTCAGGAGATTTAACCCATTTTTCCTAAGCCTCCACCTCCCAGTATCCACCTCCCAGGAATGGGTTCCCCAGCACCTACTACTCCCAGAGTCTGCTCCCCGACTCCCAGGTCCCTTGCTTCCAGGTCTATTACTACAACTGACCCAGGCAGCAGCCCTGGCTTCGTGGCAGCATAGAGTTCTTGCTGGTAGAAAGGGAACAAAGGCAACACGGGTGTCCAACTCAGGTCATTCTCAAGGGCTTTTTTGAACCTCCAGGAGCAACTGTGTAAATGCACAGAGTAGGGCAGCAAAGTCTGTTTCTGATCTACCCTGAGGCCTCCCAGGGCCTTATGTAAGAGAAGATGCTCAGACTGCTAAAAACTGACCTGCTCCAGTGTGCAGTCATTTTGCCTCAGGGGAATTGTTTTCCCTTTTTCCTAGGAAATGGAACTGGGAACTGTTTTTCCCATTCACACACACACACACACACACACACACACACATACACACACACACACGCCTGCAGGAGCCTAGCAAAGGGTGGGTGAGGAGTGTGCTCTACCTTGTCCTGTTTGCTGTACTCCTGAAAGGGGCTGCCCTGTTCCTGCCTCAGCCCTACTGGCTGGGTTGGGCAGTGAACTTGGCAGAGGTGACCCCCCAAAGAACGCACACCCAGATGTTAACAGTTATCCCTAGGGCAGCAAAATGGTGGGTGGCAGTTTGCTGCTGCTGTTCCTTATATCTGCACCATCGAAATATTTTGTGATGAACATGGATAATTGAGTTTTAAAAATTATTCTTGCATGACATATGTGAGACATACAGTGCATGGTTAGTGTAAATACTTAGGTAGTTACCACTCACCAGTACAGGAAATAGAACAGTACATTCAAAACAACATGTTGTGTATAACAAATATATACAATCTGTCAATTAAAATAAATAAAACATTTCAGATCCAAATTTATATCTTTGGACATCTCTTCCTCTCCAAAGATAAATTCTGTCTTAAATATGGAGTTTATCATTTCTATGTTCCATTTATACATTACACCATTATTACATGAATACACATACATAAGCAATACCCCAAGATAGTTTATTTTACATTACTGGAGATTGAATCCAAAGTCTTTTCACTGAGCTATATCCCCAGCCATTTTTATGTATGTATGTATGTATGTATGTATGTATGTATGTATATATTTGTTTTGAAGCAGTATCTCCTTTAGTTGCCCAGGCTGGATTCCAACTAATGATTCTCCTGCCTCAGCCTCCATGTGACTAAGATCATAAGGCATGCACCACTGCACCTAGCCCCAGCATAGTTTTGCATGCTTTTAAACATATATTGGTGGCATTATTCTCTACATATCCTACTATATTACTAGCTTTTTTGTTCCTACATTATGTATTTTAGTTTGATGCATGTTGACACATGAATGTCTAAGTCATTTATTAATGGCTATAGAACAGTGATGGTGAACCTTTTAGAGATCGAGTGACAAACTGCAACCCAAAACCCACTTATTTATCACAAAGTGCCAACACTGCAGTTAAACCTGAATACTGAGGTTAGTTTAGGAAAGACAACTCATACGTTAACATCTCTGAGAAAAACTCAATAGCAAGCGTGCCATAGGTTCCCCACCCATGGTGTAGAACATTTTGTTACATGAGTACATATTTATGCAACTATTCTTTTGGGTGTTGGTGGACATTTAGGTTGTTTCTACTTTTTGTAATTATAAGCAAAATGGAATAGACATTCTAGCACATAAAGGGAAACATCTCTTGATTCAATTCCCTAGGTAGAAATGCTAAGTTTGTTTCCATTAGACACCCTCCCATCTTCCCCGGCACTCAGCAGGCCACTGGTGAGGGAGCCAGTCTAAGGCCCCTCACTGCCTGGGTCCATCTTGGCAACCTGAGCTGAGCACTCCCCTTCAGGACAGAATGCTGAGCGCTACCTCTCCCACAGCACAAACAAGTATCAGGTTATAATCGTCTAAGCTCCGGAACCACTTAGCTGATCATTGGCAAGAAGTACATGTTTATAAATTTAAGTGTCATTAACTCACCATTATTCTGCACAATGAAATCGCAGATGTCATGGTCCTGGGAGAGATTTCCAAAAACTCGCACAGCCTCTAGGATTCCATCCATGTTTTTACTCACAAGAAGTTTTAAGAGCACTGGATTTGGTGAGGAGAAAAACAAGATCAGTTGAGTTTTAATTTAAAGGGAAACTGATCTTATGCTAGATACTGATGACAATGTAAAATTCAGGCTGGTGATGTAGCTCAATGGGAGAGCACTTGCTTGGCTAGCAAGAGCAAGGCTCTGCGTTCAAATCCCTCATTACTGCAAAAATAAATAAATACAAATTAAATGATAATAAAATGTAAACTGTGAAGTACTTCAGCAAGAACTAATAAACTAATTGTCTCCATCTTCTAATTTCTTAAAATCAGATCATGCTCTAAGACATTTGTGACAGATGTCAAAAACCAGGAATGCCTCCACTTTTGTATTTAATCAAATCAAAACCTTAAACCCAGCTCTAAACCTTACATTCAGCAATATATAGTTTTTTGTCTTGGATTATGGAATTCTTCACTTGGTAGAAAGATAAATTGTTGATCGTTGCTGTAGTGTTGATCACCAGCTCCTCACAGTCATCAAGAGACTTGGATTCTGGAATGAAGTGAGGGTAAGGGAGTCAGAGATGAACTGCAGGGGAGAGGCAATGACACTGAAAGTGTGGCAGCGGCAGCAGCAGTACCAGGGACAAGCTGCTGTCCCTGGCCAGGTTTGTGCAAGGGCGCCAGAGGTACTGTTTGCTTCTCTACATCCCCATGACTTTTCCTGCAGGGAAATACACCAAATTCGAGGCACCACTCCCAGCCAGGGCAGGCAGGGGACTATACTCAGTCCCCATGCCCTGCAAATCTAGAAGAGTCAGGCCAGTCTAGGCCCTGTGCCTGAGGAAAAGCAAAGGGGTCAGCACCCCCCGATGAGCTGAGCTGTCTCTGATGCCACCAGTGTGGCTGGCTCAAGCTCTGCCAGAGGAATACATTCTCCACACCACTACCTCCCGAGAGCATGCTCTTTATGATCACCCATAACCACCCACTCTGCCTTCCAAACATGCAGAATTGATCACGTCTTACCTTCTCCATTACCCCACTCCCTCTTTCACTTTCTACTGGCTTCTCTTCTCCCACAGTTGTCTCAGTTGCCTTGGATAAGTCTACTCTTAATACAGTGGCCTTCAAAAGTAAGTCAGATAAGGCCACTCACCTCCCAACCCTCCAATGGCTCCACCTCACTAAGCCCGCAGGCCCTGTCTGGGCTGCCCTGTCCTTAATTCCCCCAGCAGCCCCCAGACCCCCAGGGCCAGGCACACCTGTCTCCTGCTCTGTGGAGCATGTGAACAGGACCCGGGCTAGGACTCTGCACTGCTGTTCCCTCTGTCTGGAAGATACTCTTCTCTAGTTATCATGTGGCTTATCCCTTATGTCCTTCAACGGTTGCTTACACACCACCTTCCATATAACCTTCCTATATAAAATAGTATCTATTCTTCTTTCCCTCCACCCCCAACCTGCTTTTTCTCCGTAAAAAACCAACAGAAAACCAACTGATGTTACATGGCCAGAATGCAGAGAAGGTCAGAGGCAGACATTCTAGTTAGGAGTCTCCTGCAGTATTATAAATGATGACATTGCTTAGATGTGGATGACAGCAAAGAAGGAACAGAGTGGACAGAATGTACTTAGTGAAGACTGGACTGGGGTATGAGGGAGATGATGGCCCCAAGTTTCTGGCTTTCATAATTGAGTGATTGTTTCTATGGTTTGGATAAGTGTCCCCAGAAGGCCTCATGTTAAAGGCTTGGTTCCCAGCCTGTGGTGCTTTTTTGTGGTGGAAAAGAGAAGGAATGAAGCCTTCGAGAGGTGGGGAGTAATGGGATCATGTTTTATCACTGGGGATGTGCACTTGAAGAGAACACTGGGACCCAGGCCCCTCTTCTTCCCTTCTTTTGCTTCCTGGTTGCCATGAGGTGTTTGGCTTCTTCTGCCATGTGTCCTTGCCATGATGTGCTGATTTGTGACAGGCCCAAAAGTAATGAGGCCAACTGACCATGGACTGGAATCTCTAAAACTGTGAGCCAAAATCAACTTTTTCTTTTACAGATTGTCTCAGGCAATGGAAAGCTGACCAACACAGATAATAACCACATTCTCTGAACTATGGGCATATGAAGAGAGCCAATTTGGGGGAGACAATTATGCTAGCTCTTAAACTTTTTGATTTGGCCTTTGGCTACCTTTCCTTTCCATGAAAGAGAACAGCTTTTTTATAACTTGCTATATTCAAAGGAAAATGTAGCTACAGAAGACACATCCTGGCCTTTAGCCAGTGTCTCTCTACATACCACAGCCAACATAGGGCCCAGGACACAGTAGACACTTCATGAGTACATGGAGAACTACAAAAGAAATGAGGGCCTGGCTTACCTTCTTTTTGGACTAAATACATGGGAAGCAAATAAAGATCTGATCTAGCTTGGGCTCCAATGCAGATTCTACAGCAAGGAATATCCTAGTGGGCCCAGGCTTTTAGGGAATAAAAAAAGGGCCTCTATTATATTTGAAGGATAAAAGGTAAAAGAAGTGAAATAGGACCCCTAAAAGTATCCTTGCTTGTTGTGACCATGACTCTGGAGCCCAAATCCTGCTACTTCCCCTATTGGCTGTGTGGCCTTGCTCAAAATATTTATCTTTCCTGGGCCTCCATTCCCTTGGTTGTAAAGTAGGGGTGAGAATTCCACCTATGTTGGAGAGTTGTCATAGAGTTTAAATCTCTTAATATTCAATGGGGCCTAAAAGTGTGCACAGTGCCCAGTGGGCACTAAGTAAATGTTTGTCAGATGAACAGACTGCCATCTTGCTTCTGAGAGGCAGCTCAGATGCATGTCTAACCCTTTTGCCTGGAGGGATCTGCAGCCTTGGTGCCCTCTATGCCCAGATCAATGATACCAGACCTTGTGCAGTGCTTGGGGATCTGGTTTTCCTCCTCCCTGGCAGAGGAATTAATGACTTGCCCTGAAAATGCAAGGTAGGTCCTAAGAGAGCCCGCTTCCATAGAACCACATGTCTGGGAAGTAGGATGGCCCCTGGCATCAGAGTGAGGGGTTGGCACTCACAGCAACTGAGCATCTACCATGAACACCACTGAGCACTTGGCATGCATTTAATGCCACAAAAGTTAATTACTGATAACAATTTAAATGCACTTATAAGCATTTAAGCCTATAACAATTACTCTTCCTAAAGTACATCTGCCTCAGTCATCTTGGGTTGCCATAACAAAACACTGTAAACTGGGTAGCATGAGCCAATAAAAGTGTATTTTCTCATAGTTGTGGAGGCGGCAAGTCCAAGGTCAGTGTGCCAACATGGTCAGTGGCTAGTGAGGGCTTCTTCCTGGCTTGCAGATGGCTGCCTTCTCTGTGGCCTCTCTCATGCCACAGAGAGGGACACAACTCTGGTGTCTCTTCTCAAAAGGCCATTAATCCTATCCTCAGGGCCCCACCTCACAACCTCATCTGAACTAATTATCTCCCAAAGGCTCCATCTCCAAACACTGCAACATTAGGACCTGAACAGATGAATTGGTGGGGACATAATTAAGTCCCCACCAGCAACCTCATATCTCATTGTATAGATGAGGACACTAAGGATTCAAGAGAGCATTTAACTTGCCTTCCACTGCCTGATTTCACAAAGCAGACACCTGAGCCCAGGTAAATGTGACTCTACTGTCCTGTATTCTCCACTGCATCCTGTTCAGGTCAAGGACTCTGTGTTCCTGAGTTCCCATCAGAGCTGGCTGGGCTATATACTCTGCTTTCTAGAAGCAAGAGAGCCGGGATCCTGTCTTAGATCACCCTCTGTGGACTCATGCAAGAGTCTGGAATTTGGATCTGCCACAAAGGCAGCAAATCTCTGCATCTGAGGATCAGTTCCTACTGAAAGTATTTCTGATTTTTAAAAACTCTCTGGAAGGAGATTGGCAACTGGAACTGAGTCCTGGGGAACAAGCAGCTCCTCTATGAGGGGAGCAGTATTGAAGGGAGGGGGAAGAGACAAACTCAAGGGAAGCCTCTGCCATGGGACTGCCAAGAGCAGTGAGGCCGAGTGAGTGCTCAGCCCTGAGGAGAACTGGGCAACAGGTGCTCTGATCTTGAGCAGGCACAACCAGACCCATGGACAGCCCTCTTCTGCAGTCTCCATTACAGCCCCAAGCTGGCCCCGTGCTTGACCTAAGCTGCCTGTCAGAGGGGGCAAGAGCTTTGAGCCCCAGCTTCCTTTGTGGGAATCTGGGTCACCATTCCATACTGAGGCAGAGAAACCAGATGGGAAAGAAGCAGAGTTCGGGGTAGAAGGGCTCAGAAATTCACCCTAGCAGTTGAGCCACAGAAGGTAATGAAGAGAGGGGTGATTCTCTGACAAAGGTGACTTTCGCCCCTTGGAAGCTTTTTTCAGAGATAGAATCTTTCAGAAGATAGAACAGACAAACATTGCCAGGCACGGTGGTTACAACTGTAATCCTAGCTACTCAAGGGGCTGAGGCAGGAGGATTTTGAGTTCAAGCTCATCCTGGGCAACTTAGTGAGACCTTGTCTCAACAACAACAAAGACATCTCCTTGCCCAAGCAATTGCCCAAAGCATGATAGGTCAGAGAGCCTTGACCAATCATGGGAGAGCAGGGTTTCTTCACTGTGATCCACCTCCTATGGGATGGAGCCCTGACAGTGCACAGCATTTCTCAATGAAGGCCCTCCACCCAAGTGTCAGGACCAACCAGGGAGCACTCGAATAAGCACATTCCTGGATCCTACACCCTAGATGATGAATCACAACCTCTCCTCAGAGAGGGCCAAGAATCTGCATTTTTAGTAAGGCTCCTATATGTCTTATGTGCAAGAAAGTTTAAGAACCACAGAATAAAAGTTCCAATGATCACTTAAGAGTAGAAGAAAAAAAGTAGGTAATTCCTGGGTTCCATAACCTCAAGGAGTAACCCTGGACAGACCTCACATGGAAATCCCCCAAGTGACCAAGGCAGAGCACCCCCCTCCAAGAGGACTTGGTGATGGGAACAGGGAAGGGACAGACCCAAAAGCCACCTAAGGCTGCAGCCAGAGGACCTAGTAGGCTTGGCCCTCTGGTTTAAACCTTTTATTTCAGGTCAAATCTGCTTCTTGGAGTTTTTCTCCTGCCCAAGAGCATCATCTTCTTTTGAATCAAAAGCAAGTTAGTCATTCTACATTTAGTGTATGGGCACCTCATAAAATACAGAAGAGCGGGAATGTTTCCACTCTATATGTGAATATTAATAACTATGGGATAATGAATCATGTCTAACTCTACTTCTTAACTTGCCTGTTAGGTCTGGCTCTTCTCAGGTAGATGAGAAGACTGGGAGAGTTCTCATCTACTACAGGCTCTATTCTGTTATAGTTTGGATCAAAAATGTCCCTCGAAAGGCTCATGTGTTCAGATATAGGGCATTTGGAAGATTATTGAACATGAGGGCGCTAACAACCCACTGATGAGGTCACAGCTGAAGGGCTTATTAGGAGGTGGTGCACAGTTGGAGGAAGCAGGTCACTGGTGGAAGGCTATACAGTGTCTCACTCCTGGCTCTCTCTCTCGCTCTGCTTCTTGGCTGCCATGAGGTGAGCAGCTTTTCTCCACAACTCCCTTCTGCTGTGGCTTTTCTGCCTTTCCATAGGCCTAAAAGCAGTGGAGCCAGCTAACCATTGACTGAAACCATGGATTGAAACTACAAACTGAAACAAACTTTTCTTCCTTTAAATTGTTATTTTCAGGTATTTTGAAACAGTGATGCAAAGTTGACTAATACAATCCCTTTATCAGACATGTTCTTGTCTATTACAGGCTCAGTGCCTTGACCAAGCTGCAGTCAGGTAAAGGGACTGGGTATGGAACAGATAAGCACTCCCAGTTCCAGGCTTCTGCCAGCTCCTCAGGAGCTGGAGAAGTGAACAGTGATTTCCAGAAGCCCCAGGTCTTAACACTTAGTGGGGAGGGAAGAGTTAAGGGTATCCTACAGAGTTAAGTTTCTGGTAGGAAGCTGGAAGGGCTGTTTTAATGAGTCCCACAGCTGATTCAAAAGCTTCCCATCTCTTGCCTTGGGCTGAGAAGCACCACCCAGAAGGTCCTCCCAAAGGGGAAGGGATGTCAGCAGACAGGAACCTATTACACGCAAAAGATGAAAAGCTTGAGGTTGTGACAGACTGGATTTCTGTAACAGCTAGATGCATATTCTACCAAATGGCTTACCTACAGCCAGCAGCTGAGAGGAGAGTCCAAGGCTAACTGTAGATTTGCGGTTATTATGCAGAAGTGATAAGCCAAGGAAATAAATCCTTTCTTCAGACAGTCAACATTTGGGACTCCATGACTTACCACTTTGTGACCCATAAAGTCACTGTATCTCTTAGAGCTCATTTCTTCATCTGACCTCATTAACAAAAACTCAACCTCAAAGTGTTGCGAGGTAATCGATACCAGAATGCCTTTTAAACTGTAAAGCTCCATAATAAGATATGGCAATGTCACCTACAGAAAGCATAAGCCACACACCCACTGCTGCTCCATGGGTCTGGCTTGTCAGCCCTCGAGCCCCTCTGTGCCTTGCTCCTGGCACCTTTCAGAAGCTGTGTTTCCTGCCTGCATGCCTGTCATTGCTTCATACAGAGGCAGAGTTCCTTGAAAGCAGATGACTGCCTATGTTTTTAAAACCTGGTTACAGACTGAGTATCTGTGGCCCCCTCCACAAACATCAAAGCCCTAACATCCAAAGCAACTATCCTTGGAGGTAGACCCTGTGAAGAGGTGATAAACGTTAAATGAGGCCATAAAATCTGATAGCTGGAGCGCTGTGAGAAGAGGAGGAGACACCAGCCCATGCTCTCTTCGCTATGTGAGGGCTCAGCAAGAAGATGGCCTTCTACACACCAGGAGATGAGCCCTTTCACATACCAGCCCTGCTGCCAACTCAATCTTGGACTTCTAGTCTCTAAAACTGTAAGAAAATAAATTTCTGTGCTTTAAGCTGCCTAGTCCATGGCATTTTGTTATAGCAGTCTGAACAGACTAAAACAAACCAGCAGCACACAGCATAGGACTGATTATGCTGCAGTGAGGACTCAAAAAGTGGTTCTAAGAGTGAATAGCTGGGATGGGGTGAATTCACAAAAACACAATTTTTCTCACGGATTAAACTTCCATAGCAACAAGATCTACTACTCTGGTTATTAGTGGTTAAACTGATTATCTTGGACTACAATTAATTTTTCTCACACCAGCAGACAGAGTTGCTTGATTGGTGGGCCTAAAACATGGAAAAAGGAGCTGGGTGTGATGGTGCACACCTGTAATCCCAGCACCCTGAGGAGGGTGAGGCAGGAAGACTGCATGTGGGAGCCCAGTGTAGACAATTTAATGACTTAGTGAGACCCTGTCTCAAAATAAAAATTTTAAAAAGAGCTGGGGAGTTCAATCCCCAGTACTGGAGGGAAAAAAGGGGGTGCTATGGACTGAACCGTGTTCCCCTAAAACTCATATATTGATAGGGCTTCTAGGAGGATATAAAGTTAAATGGGGTCATAGAGTAGTTCCTATCAAAGTAGGATTGGTAATCTGATAGGAGAGGACCCCACCCCACACACACACCTTTTTCCTGCCAAAAAGGAAAGGCCCTGTGAACACACAGCAAGAGGATGCTTTCTGCAGGTCAGAGTGAAGAGCCCTCACCAGGAAAGGCCCTGGCTGGCTGGCATCTTACTCTGGAACTTCCACCCTTTGGAAGGGTGAGAAACAAGTTTCTGTGAAGCTGTACCATCTACAGTATTGTGTTAGGCTCCACAGCCCATGATATTGCGTGGTGGCAGCCTGAGCTAATGGAAGCAGGCAGATGTGACCCAAAGGACAGGGAGACTTGGTCACAGGTAATGTGAGAGCTGAAAGAAGGAAAGAGGAGTGAATTTGAGTCATGTGGGCTGCCTCAGGAAGAATTGGGGATTTTACATTCTTTGGGGTGCTCTTGGCTAGTTTTTGCTCATTTGATTGGTATAACTGTTTTAAGCTGCGATATAAAAAAATCCACCCTTATCAAAGTACACAATTCAGTGGATTTTAGTAATAAGGATCTACAATCAGCTGTAGCCTGCCCCTTTTTTTATTTTTGTAAACAGGAATTGTCTTGGGCTGCATTTAAATTATATAATAAAATTGACTGATGTAAGTAGCAAAATTTCCTTTATCTATTTTTGGTTTTTGAGATAAGGTCTCACTACAGCCCAGGCTGGCCTGGAACTCTCCATTTTCCTAACTCAGCCTCCCAAGTTCTGGGAATACAGGCATATACCGTCACTGCCTGGCTTCTTCCTTTACTTTTTATATTTTTCTATTATAACATGGGGGAAAAAAGAGGACAAAAAATATGGGTCACAGATTGACCATGGTTTTTCTTTCTTTTTAAAATCAGGAATACATTTAAGGCAGTTGTGAAGGGGAGAAGCATTTTCCTCACAGAAGTACAGGGTTTCTCCCAGCCTGCCAGGCCCTCACCACACACACACACATGCACACACACACACACACATGCACACACACAGCCCAGAGCTGCCCAGGCCACACTCTCACCCAGTGTGGTTAGCAGCAGCCCCACGACAGCCTGGTTGGCGGCCAGTGAGGGGCCCACTCGAGGGTGGATGGCTATGTTGGCCAGCACACGGGTCAGCTTGATGAGCACGTCCTCCGCCTCGGATGGCAGACTGGGCCAGGCAGGCCTCGGGGAGTGCAGGTCCAGCTGGTGGTACGTCTGGAATAAGGACAGCAGAGTTTGGATGCTCCCTTTCTCTTTAGAAAAGTGTTCTCGAGCCTGGTTGTTTTTCGCTGTCAGGTTGCCGAGGATAAAAACAATACGAACAACTAAATCCTGCAATAAATAAAAGAAGTTATGAGAGCAAAGCACGGGAACAAGTTGTGGGAAAGAATACACCCGGATTTAATTTATTCACAATTTAATTAATAGTAAAATGGAACATGTTTGGCTTTCAATAACTCATACAGTATTTGATTCCCAAGATGGGCATAAATGGATGGTGGAGATTAAAAGCACCTGTTGGCAATGAAAGATGACAAAACTGATTGATGTGATCAGCAAGGCCTATTAACTTCAGAGCCTTTATGTGAAATTCTGGGTGGCCTGTTTCTTCCCCTTCTAGAGAACAATTAGTGGAGTGGGATAATGTGTCATATAAATCTAAGTTCTGACACTAACAGGTTTCTCCAACAGCCACATTTTCCTCCAAGTCCATCTCCTGATGAAGCCTTGTGTTTCTAAAATGCAGGCCTTTCCCAATAGTGGATTGTGTTGCAGCAGGGTTTTGTGTGTATGTGTGTTTTATTTTGCATTGGAGACCAAACCCAGGGCCTTCACACTGAGCTCCATCCCCAGGCTTTTTTTTGAGACACTGGTCTAAGTTGCTGAACTGTACAGGCTGAGCTTGAACTTGTGGGCCTCTTGCTTCAGCCTCCCAGAGAGCTGGGATTACAAGTGTGGGCCACTGTGCCCAGCTCAGCAGGATTAATTTTATCACTATTGACATTTGCAGCCAGATACTGTAATTGTTGGGGGAGAGGACAGTCTTGTGCATTCATAGCCTCTACCTCTCAGATGCCTGCAGCATTGCCACTTGTGACCACTAAAATGTTTAAATGTTTCCTGGGGCAACATAGTTTTCAGTTGAGAACCACTGTGTTACATGTGAACACCACATTAAAGCAGTACCTGCCAGTTCTTCACTTGGATGATGGTTGAACGACACTTTTATAACTACTTGCTAAGTTGTACGTACGTGTTTTGTGCATTTATTTGTATATAAGGTCTATTTCACAATAAAAAGTTTTTAAAACCCTGGAGATGAGAACATTTTAAAATTAAAGATACAGAAAGAATTATGTTCTCAATTTGACAACAGTGCAGACAGAAGTTAAGATCGGCATTACTTCTAGGTGGCGTGGAGGTCACCTGGGATGAGACTTGAAAGGAATACTTAACTGAGAGCCACAACAGGCCTATGTGCTAACATTCATTGTGCCAGGCATCATATCCTTTTACAGAAAAGAAACTGGGTCCTGGAGAAGCTGTTCCAGACACATGGCTAGTGGGAAGGAGAGAGCAGGATTTGAACCAGGATTACCCAGACTCTGGAATTCTTTCTCTATCTCTGCCCTGCTTCCCTTGGGTGTTTTTTTTTTTTCTTTTAATAGTTATCTCCTCTTTTGCCTTTCTGGCCTGCAGACCAGTTAAGGAATTATCTTTTACGGGGCAGAGATTTAGCTCAGTGGTTCTGCTGCCTGCCTTACAAGTGCAAGGTCCCGAGCTTGATCCCTGGTACAAAAAAAAAAAAAAAAGGAATTATCTTTTAAAATACAAATATGCCACCAGAAGCAATTACCATAAACCTAACTCTGTTAATCAGATAACAGTTATCAGGAGCCTTAAGGAAAAGAGACAAAGGCAAAAGGACTGGGCCCATTTTCCTGGAGAAGCTGCAGGACCAGGTGGGACCCTAGAGGCCCATGGCAGGAGAGTACTGGGTGTGGAAGAGACAGCTGAGAATTAAGGACAAAGGACAATTTTTGCATTTGCCTAGGACTACTCTGCCAATATCAACTTGTTTTTACTCGCTGAAAAAAAGTTTCCCCTGACACTTTGGCAGAGAAGTAGAGAGGCTGCTGTGTATAGCTGGAAGTCATATGCCAACATTAAGACAGGACAGAGCCTAACACTATTGCAAGAACTGGAGCTGGTCCAGGACAGCATTCATTTTCAGAAACATTTCAACTCAGAGCATTCAGCCAATCACAGTCATTGTCCAACTAGGATACTCTACTCCTCGCTCCACCCCAGCATTCAGCCAATCACAGACATTGTCCAATTAGGAGCTGCTACTCCCAGGAAAAAGTGTTAGTCCTTAGACAATGCTTGGAGGGGGTAGGAGAGCTGGGGGGAATACACACATAGACAAGTACATGACAGCACTCATTGAAGAGTTTATAATGTGAGACGACAATGCTAACCAATCTCTATGGGGAAACAAGAGACTACAAGGGCTAAGGAAGGGCTGGACAGTGAAAGGGATTATGAATTCTAGCTCTAGAGCCAGGCAGGCTGGACTCACAGGGGGACTGAGCCACTTTGGGTCACTACTGACTCATTTGCAAAATGGAGGAAATATTACATTGTGAGATTAAGTGAGATAAAACAGGCAAAGCACAAGTTGTACTGCGTAATGATCCAGGCACTGCTCTGAACATTTTTCACATATTAGCAATGAAATATTAGCTAACAGCATTGAACTGTGGCACACACTCAACAGTCTAAAAGAGGGCAGAAAAGAGGATGTTCAGTGAGTAGTGGAGGGGACAATAGAGTTACCACAAATAACTTGAATTCAACCCTGAAAATGCGGGGGGAGGAAGAGAGTCAGTTGGTGGGGAGGGGTCTTTTGAAGGGGACAATTTCCTTCCTGGAGCCTGGTGTCACCTTGTCATTCTTTGATCATCTGCCTGTGGGCCTTAACTCTGAAGCAAGCTTATGCAGTGTGATTGTATTAGTTGAGTCCCACTTGACATAAAACCAATGGTTACTTTCAGTAATTCCCAATGGCAAAAACCCTTCCCTGGACTCCAGAAGTAGGGCACTGAGGCGGTGGCCTGTCCTACACAAGAGCCAGACCCAATAGAAAAGCACAAAGTCAGCTTTCAACCCAGGACAGAGAGGCTTTCCAAGAATTAAGAACCTCAATGCAAAAATTCTGCTTCATATTTTCTAAGCTGAGGACTAAAAGTAAATTTTTTGTGGGAATTTCAATGTTTTGATTAGACACAATTCGAATACCACTTCTGAAAATTATAATAGTAACAGTAGTAGCAGCAACTGGCACATAGAATTTATGATGTGCACAGGCACTACTCTAAGGCTTTATGCACATTAACTCATTAAAAATAACTTCTGCTTTTGCCATCTGAAAAAGCTAGCCATGACCTCTTACAACCTGGACATCACCTCCCTCATGTACTTGACAGCAGAGATCTGTTAACAATTTTTAGACTTCATTGTGTTCCCTGGACTGTGTTCTTCTCCCATTTCCACAAAATCACATTAAACAAGGCAGGAAAGACTTGGGTGATTTTAATGCCTTCTTAAGGAATTTAATAGTAGATTCTGTTTGCTAAATCATTAATGGGATTAATCCGTTTACCCCTGCTCTGTCACTGCTGTGTTCTGAAGGATGCTGAGCTGTTTTGTTCTTCTTTCCCCCTCTTTCTATGCCTCGCTGCTTCACCTTACCTACCTGTGTTTGTTTTCCTCATAGTCTAACCCAGCAGGCTCCGGGGCCTTGCACCACCTCTGTGTGTCACTGTGGATCTGCCAGGAGTCTACAGGTTTTCTTAGTGATCATCATTCTTCAAAATTCAAATTACCTCTCCCCACTGTCACCTGTGGACTCGCTGGGGAAGACTTCAGTGCTGCTTTTCTTTTTCTAAAAATTCCCCCAGGCTCATTCCACTCACTTCTAAAATTCTTTAACTCTAACACCTCTGGGTGTCCTACAGTAACGTAGTTTATTGAGCTTTACATAGGGAAGAAGAGAGTCCAGGCTGTGGAACAGAAAGAGTTAACACTGACAAAGTATCTCTTCCCCTGCTTTCAGATGGAAAAAGGAGAAGGCGGTTCCTGGCAACAGCGGTGCCAACTGCAGAATGGCATGCGAGATCAACAAACGGGAATGGCAGATTGCGCCATTCGCAGCGCCCAGCTTCAGCAACTGCTCTGCTTCCTGGCTTGCTCCTCTTTCTTGGGGTTGGCTAAGGAGTCTTTTCTTTTCACCTTCCTTGAATGTGTCCTCCGTGGGTCCAGGGAGCCTGCCATGGGTCAGGCCAGAACAGAAGTGGTGTCATGGGTGGTGTTCCCTTGCCCTGTGCCAAGGCTGGACTGGGCTCACTTGGGATCCTGAGGGAGGAGCCCCTCACCTCACCACGGGTGGCCCTCCCCCCTCCTACACCCTAAGTCTCCGTAGCACCAGGACCTGCACTGGGCAGTATTTTGGAGAGAATCCAAACTACCACAAATCTATATAGTCTCAGTCAGTTACTTATCCTATAAAGACTTGTAGAAAGAAAACCAAGACCCAAATAATGGATTTGTAGAGACCACCAACTCTACAGCACAAAACTATTTCTTTACATTATACAGTTCTCCATTCCTTTTATTCTTAGACAATATCCAAGAACCATCCATAAATCAATGTTCCACTTTTATAACATTTTTATTTAATTCAATACACAGTTGCACATCATACCACAACTATGTGGTTTTGACATAGCAAAATGAAGATAAATTAGGAGAGAGAGCTTTTTCTTCTAATGAAAGTAGTCTTGTATAACCAGTTCATACTGACTCTCTAATTTTGTTTATAACAGAACCAGCCTAGCAACAGCACTGCCGGCTAGAGTTCAAATGGGAACTGCAAGGGGCCTGACCTCCACCAAGCATTCCGGTTGTAGCCAGTTATAGTCATTTTCCTTAGTTCAGCATATGCTGTGCCCTAGTGAACAAGCATGTTACTCGGTCAAACTGGACCCCACCCACCTGTAAATATTTACAACTGCTTTAACTGGGACAAAATATGGAGCAGGAGCACAGTGGTCTATGTCAGGATCCATCCATAGCAGCTGTGCAGCCATTGAGTGTTATTTTTCCCTTGAGAGAGACTGGCCTGAAGCCAATAGAAGAGGCCTTATCCCTACTCAGAGACAGGGAAACTGAGGCTTCAAGAGAAGTCAAATACTGGGGAACAGTAGAGGCAGGACTTGGGTGGTGTGGTAGCACATGTCTATAATCCCAGCTGGGTGGAAGGCTGAAGG